GTAGGATTTGAACTTGGGCCTTCCCAATTCTAATGGCCAACTTTCTATGTACTATGCCATGCTGCCTCTCACCCAGTCTTTAAAAAGTATTTAATAGCTACATTCCCAGCAATGAAAATTCCATATAACTTACATTTGCTGTGTTTTGGAGTCTGGAAATGATATAAAATAATTTTTTTGGAAATGCATAATTCAAGTCAAAAGATTAAAGCAAATTATTTTAGAAGAAGAAAGTTCAAATCAAATATCCTCTCCAAAAAATGGAGGCTGAAAGGTCTGAACTCTAACCCCATTTACTCTTTCTCCAGAAACTCGGTATAATACCCACCTAAATATGACTAGCTGACTTTGGCTATTGGGGAGGGGAGTGGCAGGTGGGGAAACAGAGGAAGAAGCTTTCTTGTTTGGGAGATGTGAGGGATAGGAAAGAAAAAGGTAGCATTCATGTTACATGTTTGCTTAAAACCTGGCTCAGGTTGGGTAATGAACATTTTTATGGGTTCCAGCCAGGATCATAAGAAATGGAAAAACAGTCACTGCAGACAGTGATACCTGAGTCAGAAAGAGTCAAGATCAGTCTTGCAAATCCCAACCGAATCCTAGTAACTTCTGTGTTATTAATACTAAGAACCACAGACATCATTAAGGAGAAATCATCCTAATGAACAGATTTGTTAAGTGCTTTTGTTCCTTTCAGTAGCAACTAATCTGATTCGGTCCATGTGGCAAAAAGAGTATTAGAAGTATTACTTTCAGGTTTGCACCTTCATTTAAACTCTTGGCAACCCTCTAATTGAGAAACTCTCTTGAAATTGCTTCCAACTGTCTCTAATCCTTTATGACTTTGAGAAAGAACCCAGCAATTTTAATTTGAGAGTTTGTAATTTGTCTAAAACTCTAATTGTATAAAAGTGGCTGAAGATTCATGGAGTGCATGAGACTTCATGGAGTCTCAAAGGGTATTTGAGTCTTAAAGATTACTTTTAAGATTAGTCTTAAAAGATTACTTTTTATTTTTTTATTGAAGAAACATGAAAGTGCCACTTGTTAATAAGGCATGGATTGTTTGCAGAAAAGAATGCCAGTGACATTGCAAAACATAATTAACCAATGGCCTTTTGTTCTACAGTTAAGAAACTCAGACAGTCTAGAAAACTTACTCAACAAAATGGAGGAAGAAAAAAGCTCCATCTTTGGCTACCTGATGGTTGAGTGTGACACGCCCCATCGATGTGGAAGCCAAATTCTGAACACCAGTGTCTAGCCCTTCATACTAGCATGAGCCTTTTTTCACACATAAGGTACTCCAGCAAGACAGGCAAAACTTGTTCTGGCCCTTACTACTACTGAACTTTTCATTGCACATGTTCCATTCCCTCATCCCCATAATCCTCCCACTCTGTGTCTGCTAGATCACATCACTTCTACTAAGGGCCCTTTAAGTTAAAGTAAATGTGCATCAATGGCAAACACACTTTAAATTGGTACCCCACTCTGGTACTTTCTACAGTCACTAAAGTTTTCATCCCTGACACTTCTTCAATCTTGATATTTGCATGAAATCTTGAGAGGATTGCAGAGATTACTAATGTGAGAGAATTTCTATATTTAACAGCCAAAGGGGCAATACACGGGATCCTTCTGCCTTTGAATAGATATTCACACTGCTGTAAAAAGGTAGAGTTCCAGAAGCACATACCCAATGATATAATATAGTGGCCTTGCAAGAAGCAGGCCCATATCTCTTTATCAATCTTTCCCAGAGGGAAAATGATAGCAACGTAATATAGTTTTCAAAATGCTGAATTCAGCATCAGATGGCCTGGGTTTGATTCTAAGCTATGATACTCACCAGCTGTGGTGACAATGGGTAAGTCATTTCACCTCAGTTTACTGTTACAAAACAGGGGCAGGGAGGGAGGTAAGGAAAAGTCAGGCATAACAAGACCTAAAATTTCTTCTTGCTCTGATATTCTGGGTTTCCATGGTTATTTGATAACTGGCCAAATCCAACCAGGTATTTGTTTACTAAGGAAAAATGTGATATTTGGGAAGACAAATTAGTTTTTAGGACACACAGGGATCATTAAGTCATTCCACAAAGGAAGTAAATATGGAAGTTCTTTCCTTTTTTCAGGATAGAAGTTGTCTAACTCCATAAATCTCACCATAGACACAATTTTCCACAGGAGCGTAACCTCTTTCAATAGGCTAAAAGAGGGTTGAGGGGGACTCCAAGCTGCAAAGTTTAAACTTGTTTTTTATCCTTTGATGGAAGGCCTGGCTATCCTGCTGAGGTGTTGAGGGAAGTGAATTCTTGAGGTTAATAATTCATTTTCACAACTTTAAATGTACATAGGGAAATTTAATCCCACTTCAGATGGAGCTGGTTTAACCTGGACTTTGTTTCTCAAACTTCCGCCCCTTTCTTTCTCTGCTTTCCTCCTCCTCTTCCCCCAAACCTCTCCACTTTTACACTTTGTAACACCTTTAACCATTTTCCAAAGAGGTTTGAGAGTAGGAGGGACTAGAAAGATGTGGGAAAGGGGTGGGGCTATGTTCAGGTAGACAAGGAGAGCCTGTGAAAAGTAGGTTAGGCTGAGTGGTAGAGAGAATAAAGTATTTTTCTCCTTCTCTCTTATTGGGCTACCCTAGTGTCCCCTGGGGAACAGAGCTTTCCAAATGAAGTGAAAGAGTACAAAAGCAGAAGCCGGTAAGAGTCCCTGATTTCTGGCCCTTCATATAATTTGCTTACCTCCATCATTCTCTCCCTATTTCCCCAAGTTTTCCACCAGACATCTGGGAAGAAGCCTACTGGTTCCTCTCTGAAACTTGAAAAGACTTAAAAAGCTAGGCCAATGAGAAGCACCAGGGAGGGAAAACAGGCATCCAGAAAAGGGTGGCCTGCACTTAGACCAACTGCAACAAATACTGGGGAACCCACCATGATGGTTTGATCAAACTCTACTACCATTCCAGTCTGTAAAATAAGATGGAAATGTTGACTGGGCTAAAAATTGACTAAAAGAATAATTTGATAGAAAACGAATTCTACTGGGATCAATGTTACTAAGCCCTGCTAACAAAAGCTTAACCTGACTTTATTACATTTGGAAAGTCAAAATCAT